GGGCGAACGAAGGGGGCGGATGAAGGGGAATGAGGCGGCCAGGCGGACGGAGGCCAGTGGGAGGTTGAAGAGAAAGTGCGGAGGAGGCCAGTAGGCAGGGGAAAGGCGGCAGAGAGTAGGGCGGAAGCAGGAGTTCAGGTAGAGATCGGCCAAAGGACGGAAGGGGAGGAAGGAGATTGGGGGAAGGAGGTCAGTGCAAGTCGTGCAGAGGAAGGAGGGAGGAGGAAGGAGGAGGACGGAGGAGATAGAGGGAAGGAGGTCAGGCGGAGATTGGACGAAGGAAGGGAAGTGAGGTGGCCAGGTGAAGGGAGGGCAGAGGGAGGTTTTAAGAGAAGGGAGGGCAGAGGGAGGTTTTAAGAGAAGGTCAAGAGGAGGCAGGGAGAAAAGGGAGGCGGCAGGGAGAAGTAGGGCGGAGGGAGGACGGAAAGCAAAACATGGTTTAGAGGTTGAGTGACATATGGAGGAAGGGAAGAGGTAAGGGGGGGACGAGCATGTGAAGAGGAAGAGGAGGGGAAAGACGGCATGGTGAGGTTGGTCGGAGGGAGGGCAAAGGTTGGGTGGGGTACGGAGCAAGGGAAGAGGTCAGGCGAAGAGAGAGAGAGAGAGAGAGAGAGGCATACACAAATGGATTGGTGGGAGGAGAGTGAAGAGGGGCGCGTGAGAATTGGGGTCAGGAGGGGAGAGGGGCAGCAGAAGCCACAGTAGGACGGGGGGGGGAAGAATTTGAAGAGGCGCAGAGCAATAGCGCAGGCGGATTTGGAGGAAGAGGATGAGGTGGCGCATGGCACAGCGTCCTGGGAGGGGAGGGAGAGTCGAGGGGTAAGGGTGGTACAGTGACAAAGGGGAAGAGCGGGAGGGATAGCGGTACATGTCATGGATGGGAGAAAGATGGGGGGACGGGGAAGAGGGGCAGGGGTAAGGTGGAGTGTGGAAGGCCCAAAATCGCGCTCTATTTCTGTTTTTTCCCTTACGTGTGCTTGTGTGTGTGTGTGTGTGTGTGTGTGTGAGAGAGAGAGAGAGAGAGGGGGAGAGAGAGACGGGAAGGGAGGAGGATTAGGGGGAGTCGGCCTTTTGCGTCTCTTTTTCTTGCGTGTGAGAGAGTGACAGGGACGGGGAAGGGAGGACGGTTACAGGAAAGTAAACAGTGGGAGGCGCGCATGCGAGAGAGAGAGAGAGAGAGAGAGATGGGGGAGTCCATGAGGATTAGGAGGAAGTCGGTGACTGGGGGGGAGGTTAAAGGTTCATCATGCTTTTTTGCCTTTTTCTTCTCTATTTTTTTCCGTATGTGTGTGTGAGAGAGAGAGATAGACGGCGGAAAGGAGGGTGAGGGGAAGCCGGCGAGGTGGTGAGTGGTATAGCCGCCCCAAGTGCCAGGATGTCTTTTGTATTTTGTCTTTTGTCTTTTGATTTTTTTTTTT